GTAAACCCCAAAAGGTTGGAAACCGGATTAAGGATAAATAGTGCTGGGATCCCTCATGCATTGGGTTTAGGGTTTAGGGTTTAGGGTTTTGGGTTCAGGGTTTAGGGTTTAGGGTTTAGGGTTTAGGGTGAGGCTATTGGGTTTCCAACTTTTGGGCTTCTCCTATACGTGCAATAGTCTCCCTGACTATAACCCTAGTTACTAAGGCCGATGATCCTCGGAGTTTCGGGTTTAGGGTTCCTACACACAGCGGTGCAGCTGTGACGCCTGGAATCGCCGAAGTTGCTGGCCTCACGCTCACATCATTCGGCTTTTTTAGGGTTTAGGCCTTATGGTTTAGGGTTTAGGGTTTAGGGTTTAGGGGTTTAGGGTTTAGGGTTTAGGGTTTAGGGTTTAGGGTTTAGGGTTTAGGGTTTAGGGTTCCCCAACCCTCAACCCTCAGCCCTAACCCCTTTGGGGAGCTACAAGGTGTTGGTTGTCCTGTCTCAGCCGTGATTGGAGTTGAATCCTGGGATTGAGTAACTAATTACAATGAGCTAAAAACTTCATTTAAGATACTTACCCTAAACCCTAAACCCTAACACCCTAAACCCTAACCCTAAACCCTAAACCCTAACACCCTAAACCCTAAACCCTAAACCCCTAACACCCTAAAGCCTAACACCCTAAACCCTAAACCCCAAACCCCCTAAACCCCCTAAACCCTAACTCCCTAAACCCTAACTCCCAGGATCCTTCAAATGCATCTCCGAGCTGCGCCGCGCTTTCGGCGACCGCGAGCTGATGCGGCGCCGTAGGGGTTACCATAGGCGTTCCTGAGATCATGTGGGGGCCTTCGGTTTAGGGTTTAGGGTTTAAGCTATAGGGTTTAGGGTTTAGGGTTTAGGGTTGTTCTTAGGCGTTCCTGAGATCACAAGGGGGCCTTCACGCTTGTAATGGGTTTAGGGTTTAGGGTTTGGGGTTTAGGGTGGTTCTTAGGCGTTCCTGAGATCCAAGGGGGCCGGTTTAAGAATTAGGGTTTGGGATCAGGGTTTGGGGTTTAGGGATCAGGGTTCCGGGTTTCGGGATTAGGGTTTAGGGTTCAGCAAGCTTTTGGGTAGTTCTCTAAATTAGAGTCCCTTTTGGGGTCCCGTTTATAAGGGTTCCGTACTATGTTAGGGGCCCAAGAAAGGACCCTAGTTTAGAGAACTAGCCATATGGGGGCTCACGCCTGGAACGGGGTCTTAGGGTTTAGGGTTTAGGTTTCTTTGAGGTTCCGTAAGAGTATCGAGGCCTTAATATTGGGGTATATCATAGTATACCTACAACAAGGAAGCCAAGGAGATAACCCAGATCTACCAAAAGAATCCCTGAATTAAGGACTGCAGCTAAAAAAGGCAGTAGGGTCCTTAATCTATCCTATTATGACCTACGGTCTATGGTATATTCCTTACTTAGGGGGTTTCGAAAGATCTGGGAGTATAGGGTTTAGGGTGCTTGGAATGGGGTTTCTTACAGTTTTTATAAGAGTACAGAGGCCTTAATACCGTGAAAAGGTTTTGGGGTATATCATAGTATAACTACATCAAGGAACTTGATGGAACAGTATGGATACCGAGGTAGGCCCCTATGTAGGGTGCTCCCATGTCCGTGGCGACGCACAGGACGGGGCAGGAACCCATGCCATGAATATTGCTCTTCGACCATCATCGTGCACGGTTTAGGGGTTTAGGGTTTAGGGGTTAATGGTTTAGGGGTTTAGGGTTTAGGGTTTAGGGTACTTCTACTCCAGGCCCGAAACCCTAAACCCTAAACCGCTCTTTTCAACCTCTCGGACCCTAGGAACGGAGTTCTTCTAAGACTGCCGTCTGCAAGGCCATGATGTTGGCCATGGTGCTCTGGGCGCTGACGCCGTGCCGATTGTGATCGGGTGGTTCGACTAGAGGCAGCAGACCTTTCAGTTGCAAATCGCTCAAAAGACACAAAAAAAAACGTTCAGCCTCAAACGCGAAAGCAAATACCAAACACTGCAAACCCAAACTCCCTAAACCATAAACCATAAAAGCTTAAATGCAATCTCCCCTACCCTAAATCCTAAACCCTAAACCCTAAACCCTGAACCCTAAACCCTAAAACCTTAACCCTAAACCCTAAACTCCTTCTGGATAAGCGGCGCAGAGTTCTGCATGCCAGGTCTTCGAACGGGGCGGCCTCGAAATGGGACCCGAAACCCGACAATCCGAAGACTTACAGGGTTTAGGGTTTAGGGT